GGGTCGGTATCCCAGTCAAAAACTTTTTAAACTGTTTTTGTACCAGACATTATCTTATATATTCTAGCAGAGAAAATAATTCTGCGTCAAATGGAAGTATTCGGTGAAGGTTTTAGGCGAATCCTGTGTTTGGTTTCCAGGAAAAACTGATTTTTCAGTAATATATAAATGTCACGGATCTCTGCTATCTTACTGCAGACACTAAAAAAATACAACATATTGGTAATCACCACACTTTGTTCTATCGATGTATAAAGAAAACAAATAGAATAAAGGAAAAAAGTGTTTTTCAAATACCTGTGGGGGACCACAGACGCGAAAAAAATCAATTTTTCTCAAATAGGAAACTGTGTTATGAAAAGACTTCAAAAACCATCGTGCTATTCGTATGTAATGTAAGTTTTGTCTCTTTTTTAATACTAGAGGGTTTTTAGTGCATTTGTCGTAATTAGGGACAAAAAATTGCTTAGTGTCGGAATTAGGGAAAGTAACTCTAATAACGACAATGAGGAGTCTTCATCGTAGACCGCTGTTTTCTCGAGAACTATGTGAGTGAGAAAAGTTCAAAGCATACCATTTGAAACAGAAGACTTCAAGGATCATGCACATATAAATATACTTTCATTCGAAAGTAAATGGACGACGAACGAAGTTGAACAATCGAAGTGAATTTTTTACTGTCGTAATTAGGGATATTGACTCTACGACTGAACTTCAGCTTCAAAGCTTATTCATTGAATTCCTGAAGAATCTGAAATCACTTCTATTCTCTCACAATCGACAACTAGGTACAAAGCGAATGCATGCGCCATTCTACATCGTCCTGCACCTTCAAATTATACATTTCCACCAAACGGTATCATAGTATAAGACATACTTCTTTAAATAACGAGAAGATTCCATCTACACTAATGGTGTTCCCCGCACTAATACTTGCAACACAACGAGCACCATTCACAGACTGCTGCTATAATTTCCTCTCCCGTTGTAGTAAGATTTTTAACCACAATTGGTGCGCATTCATTGTCTCTCATTCTACATTTTCTCCGTTCCACTAACCGCATTCAAAACCCACCTATCGGAGTCATCCGCGAAGAAAGGATTTCTGTGCGGGACAATGATCCTAGCGACCTACGGTCCCAGTGTAAAAACGTTAAAAGCCTGACACCGAGTTCACTGAAACCGACACAGCGACCACTGACTACGCTGCAGTGATTTCACTGTTACAGGTTCTACGCCGACACCGAACTTGCTGATACACTAACGTTCACTGTAGCTCCGATATTCCGAGACACTGATTACACTGAAATCGATACTCAGCGAAGCACTAATACACCGATTTGCCTTTTCGCTAACGTTTACTTTTGCTATTTCTCTTATGGGATCTTCCATTATGAAGACATGAATTCCTAATCATTCTTGATTGAACCACAACTTATCCGTTTAATATTCGCTTTTTTACTTTTTTCTGTAGTATTATACCGCTATATGCATATGCTCAGGCGGTACCGCTTAGCTACTGGCGTGGCTCATGGCTATACCGGATCTTCCTCATTGACAATATTCCGATAGATCTCCCACTTATCGTTGAAATCGTGGATGCTGCCCAAGAGACAGAATTTTTCAAAACGTGTGTAAGCGCTAAAAGAGGACCGAAATCTAGAAAAAGGGGACGTATTTAGATGACAATCGAGGTTCCCGATTATGAGTGAAAAACACTCACTTTTCCACCTACTTGTGCGTTTAATGGCGTTTTCAGTCAAAACATGCGTATAAATCCATAAAAAAAGTGGCCATCTTTTTTATACTCAAGAATTTTTACTATGATCCAGTCATTGATAACGACTATGAAATAAAAGACCACTTTTTTTCTTTTTTTTATGCATTTATTCGCATTTTTTGACTGAAAACGCCATTAAACGCACAAGCAGGTGAGAAATGGGGCGTTTTTCACTCACAATCTGGAACCTTGATTGTCATCCAAATAAGTTCACTTAGGGATGTGCAGTTTCAGTGTAAATACTGAAATACTGGCACTGCCAGCGCCGATATACTGAGCACTGAGAACTGACTACGCTGCACTGACAACACTGTCACTCGGTCTAAACTGACACCGAAAACACTGATGCACTGATACTCCGATGCTGATTTCAATTAACTACATTTTATATACAGAATATAATGCATCTCCAGATTTGAAAATATGAATCCACATAAA